TGTGAGACTTCTCACAGCAATAAGACCATATGGCAGAGTTGGATTATTCAAACTGGAGGATTCCTAGAGCATTGTTTTCCATGCCTCCACATGGTCTGTTGTTGCTTTTAAAGATATGCTTAAAGCGATAATAAATGGAGGTTTAAGACTTAAGTAGAAAGAGCTGCTTGTCTAACAAGCCTTTTAATTTTATGTGTTTCCCTCAGATACTGTCGTCCATTGAATTGCTGCAACATTCTTTACCCAAAATCAACCGGAGTGCTTCTGAACCGTCCCTGCACCGTGCTGCCCACACAGAGGACATAAATTCGTGCACATTGACGTCCACGAGATTGCCTGTGTTTTAGGGTCGTGCTCCCCCTTCCCCTGTTCTTTCCAGTGAGGGGAAAGGAACAGGAGTAACAGGAGTTGTGCTTTTAATGCCTCCATGTACAGGATCAGTGCCAGCAGGATGATCTGTGTCCCAGTTTTAAGAACAAGCTGCTAAGGATTTCTGCAGTTCTTATCCTGCAGGGACACAGCCCCACATCGCCTTTTTCTATGGTTTCTTTTACTGAGGTAGTTAACAGACTATAAATCAAGAGATCTATTACTATTTTTTTAATAGATGCACTTGAGCCTTATTTTTCCCATACACAGAAGTGATGGATGTTTCTTTGGCAGTGTTTCTGGATTGATTTGAATCTGTTGGTAACTTGGTGTTTTTTACATCAAGGATGGCTTGCCTTGCCGTTTGAGGGAAGAGGATGCATTATGGTGCTCCGTGATTGCCCTGTGCCGTGTGCCACTGCGAGCTGGGGGAGCTTTGCCTGAAATGGGTATCAGCAAATAAGACTGAGGGAAGAGGAGAAAGCTTTCTGGAAATCAGCTCCTGCCTAAGAGCTTTTGTCAAGCAAATCAAATAAGTTAAAATGGTAATTCAACACAAAATAGTTTTGCACATCGAAGAAAAACTCTTGCAAAAGAATGGAATATCTTCTGAACTGTACTGCTTGGAGGAGGAAGCTAGTCAGCCTTGTTGCGGTCATCGGCAGTAACTTCAGCAGCTCACTTTGGTACTATGGACTTGTTCCTGGCAGCCCAGGGAGGCAGTAAGTGCAGAGACAGGCTTTGGGGGCTGAGAAAAGGCTAATTAACATTATCCGTCTAGTTCTGCGACATGAGCATGGTCTTCATCCCATCTGAAGCTGTTGTCCAAGAGATGCACTATCAAGAGGAAACTGAGCATATACAGTTTTTCTTGCTGATTTGGGTTTTAATTTTGTTTTTATTGCTCCTGAGAAAATGCATTTATTGTAAGCCAAGGTTCCTCTGATTATCTTATTTTAATAAAATAAATTAAATTTTAAGTTCAAGATTCAATGTCATCATTTAATGTAGCAATCCATAGTTGACATGTACGTCTAGATTTGAAAAACTCAGAAAATGACATTCTGAATAATGTCTAAATAGTAGGGCAGGTGGTAGCAGTTCCAGCAAAAACACGCTTGATAGGACAACCGGTGTGTTTCCTGTTGCTTCAATTGCCAGCTGGTTTTTATCCTACTGTACTCATCTTCCAGCAGCACCTACTCCTTATGGTGCCCATGCTGACGTGCCAGCGAGCTGTTGAACTGCGCCTGTCTGCTCTGCATTTTGTCTGCTGTGAACCTGCCGATTGCTTGGGTGGAGTTTTTCTTGGCTGAGCTCCACTGATGACAAAAACTAGGTGAATCTAAGGATTTATTTTTTTA